TGGGGGATAAGATCATAGACAAGGTCTCTAGCTATAAGATTCTAGGAGTCCATTTACAAAGCGATTTAAAGTGGGACGTCCATGTCGACTACATCTACAAGAAGGCATGCAAGAAGCTGTACTCCTTAAGGATCCTTCGACGAGCTGGAGTTGATCAAGAAAGTATTTTAAAGGTATACATAAGTACCATCAGACCAACCATGGAGTATGCAGTTCCTGTTTGGCAGTCGATACCTGGTACGTTGGCGGACAAACTTGAATCAGTGCAAAAGCGGGCTTTGAAAATCATATTTCCATCTACTGCGTGCTATAACGATGCACTACAGCGTGCTGAACTGGATCCATTATCAACCAGAAGGCACTCCCTCTGTTTGTAATATATGGACAAAATCAAAGTTACAGGACATCCTTTACACCATCTTCTCCCAAAACGCATTAGTCCTGACTGCCCGTATGGCTTACGCAATAAGAAAGGAAACGTATACCTATACAAGAACTGTATTAAGTGTAGAACTAAAAGATCAGAGGACTACTTCATGTTCAAATATTTTAATTGATTATGTTGTATATATTGTATGTATGTATATATTGTATGAAAATTGTATCAAATTGTATATATTATATCTTACACATTTTTATATTTTAGAGCTTAATTCTGTAATTTAGTTTCTTAAACTACAAATGAATTAAATAAACCCTTATCATTATTATTATTATTATTATTATTATTATTATTATCATTATATAACATACTCTTTGCTGTCTTGGTGATTAGTAATGCCTTTTTTGCTGACTTGTGTTAGGTCTTTAGATCATCTACGTAGAGCAAGTGTGTTAGTTTTTCTTGCTTATTATGCGAATATGTATGTCCTTCASTGCTTCTTAACCACCAGGCTATTGTGTTCAGACAGAGCGTGAACAATCGCACGCAGAACGATTCTCCTTGCAGGATTCCTTGCTTCAATCGTATTGGACCAATCCTCTCTTTTTTTTCGTTGATTTTAACCTCGAGAACAAGGGGCCGTTTGGCRTGCGCATGCGCCAGTCTGTTGAAAATTCATTGAAATTCACTTCAAGCGAGAAATTACAACGACACGAAGGACAATTTCCAAAAATGTTTTTTGCTGTTTTTGACCCTGAAATGTTCTGTCATGACTCAAGAACACTCATAAATAGTGTAACCTACAACGAGGAACTGATTGGGACCGTTTAAAATCTTATTTAAGAAATGTTGATATTAATGACTTTGTGTTTAGAATATGGAGGCTGCAGTGGTTTATATACGCAACTAGTATTCCAGTTTTTGCTGAGTGCTGGTCAAGATTCAACTCAGGTCATGAAGTAAATGGTAAATGTACACATGTAGTAATATAATTAGGCATCGTTTAGTAACATCGACCTCGAAATGTTCGAAAGACAGTTTCTTGAAGTGTACAATATTTACGCTTAAATATTATTAACTGTTACATGAAATACTACTTTCCTTTTATATACCACCAGGACTCATTAGAATAAGGCTACCAATATCAAGACTTATGCTTTGCAAATGGTTTGATAATGTTTTCTTGTCTATGAAAAATGTGGAACGGTGTTAATTCTGCAAATTCTTACGTGCTGTTGAGCACTCACGACAGATTTAGCATTCTTTTGGCTGAAGAGTTGAGCTTGTTTGAATCAAGTTATCATAAATATCTATGTGTAGTTCTATAGCTGTATCATTATAAGTTATGAAATAAACTATTGCAGTGCAATCGATTCACATCTTAGGAATTTATTATTGCTAAAGGTGTGCACAAATAATTCACTACATTTTAACGGTACAAAGTGGCTTCGTGTTATAAATCTAGCCCGAGACTCACAGTAATTTATATAAAGTTTGAAAGATATTCGTGTGCATTGTAAATATATCTACTTGGTTTTGTTTGGAAAAATGTGGAAGATAAGTAAAAACATCAATTATGTTCAGAATCGAAGCTTCCGCAGCTACTACAATGTTATTCTACCCGTATTCTAGAGCCCATGGTCGTTATAACGCAGCGGTTGCGCGCATGCTCATGCATAACGGCCTCTTGTTAC